GTGTACACCGCGGTCGGTCCTAGATGCCGACGGTGAAGGCTACGACCATCACTGTCGATAGCTCACTACCGAGGCCAAAATTGGACTGCGATGTGGGTTATGACGCGACTATGAAAGGTGCAAGTGTAGTAGTGTGCTACAGATGCACGAAAACCAAGAATGACCCTTGAATTCCATGTGCGCCACATAGAAAACCCTAACCATCACCTCGAATCCTACACTAATAACCTCACCTCAGGCCCCACTCCATCAGTCGAAGATAGCCAAGGAGTCACTTCAGTCAAAGACCATCGGGCTCAAGGTTCACTTGTCTCCTAATATCACTACTTCGTCCCACCGAGTTGGTACAAAGCCCTGAGGGGTTATTGTTAGGGGAATGCCCCTGTAGCACCACCCCGCTTCTCCATTGCCCAGGGTAGGGCCCTCACCAACACCTACCACCATGAAACCCTCATTACAAGGCCTCGCTCTCGTGCAAGGGTACATTCACGGCCCCTATCTGAACCCCATATATATGACCTTGTTGTTGTGTCCATCAACGGCACTAATTCAGCACATTTGTTTCCTCGGATACCTTCACTGGCACTGTACATGTCTCCCCCACTAACTTCCCTAGAAAAGGTATCATGACGTCTTGTTTTGCAGGGTCAAGAGTTGGTTGCAGAGCTGACCAGCCAGGATGAACCTTCGAAGCCACCCCTAGGCATCGTCGCATGGGCCCATCAAAGAGTGGTACCCCAAGCAGGGAACTCTAACGGCGTCAAGTGGGTGGTTGAATATGATGTGTCAAATGACTAAGGTACCCCCAAGTGTGTGTAAAAATGTTCCCATTCAATTCAGGTGTAAGTGTAATTTCATCATGCCCTCTGGTATGGACTATAAATACCTAGCAGGGCACATTTGTAGAGATGATGAATTAATGGCCATTTACTCCTAAATTTATCAAGGCTCGTGTGTTATCTTCACTTTCCTCCCTTCCTTCTTTGCTTGTAGTGCACCCTAGACCTCCACTCTACCGCCTCCGTCCGATGAGGGTTTGAAGGCCAAGTGGAATTCCCACGACCGCTATTTCCATGGTGAATGCTTCATTGGTCCCGCCTATGTAGAATCTAGGCCTGTGCTCACTGGCGATGCAGGAGCCCAACGGATCACGCCCATGAGTGCTCTAGCTCCATTTGCTTCTACGTATGACTACAACATAACCAAATAGGAGAGGAAGAGAGGGGAGAAACACACATTGACGGAGTCCTTGGCACATAGGTATGCTGATGAAAGTCGTCGGTAGAGTTGTTGACCTTGCAAAGATGACTTTTGTAGTGCTCCTCATCGAGATTCGTAGACATCGGGACGCGAAGAAGTCAGGTGAGCCTACCAACACAAAATTGAACCATGTTGATGAACAACCGTACCATGCCGCCCCTGCATAGATCTAGCAAATAAACACATGGATAACTGACTAGAGTGAGCCCAACCATCTCCATTATCTTCCAAGTCCCGTGAGCACCATTCACCAAATCAACTACCATGGATGACATTGAGAAAGGCGCCAAGGTGGGAGCACTGTGAAGTAGGCAGGGTCCTTTGTGTCATTATTAGCGATGGGGGCTGCACGACATCGTCGCTTGAAGGGCAAGGGCCACGCACAACTGTTGATTAGAGGGGGCAGATCTACTGGCCACCAAAGGCATGCCACAGACCATTGACTTGTGAGATATGCGAAGTGAAAGGTATGATTGGTGAAAAGGAAAGACCGAGGGAGGGTGAAGCACTGAACAGAGATCGAGGAGAGGAAGGCACCAGTGGGAATGAGAGACTGTGGGAGGGATAGAGGGAAACATGTGTCGCTCGGTGAGTAGGAGAGACCAAGGGAGGGAGGGGTGCTCAATGGGGAGGAGTGGTTGGCGGCTGAGATTGAGATTGGGAGGAGGTGTCAGTTTCTAGGGTTGGAGAGAGGCTAAATGGACTTGGGCCTCAATTTCTAGAAGAGGGTCTTTGAAGGGGTACACCTCTAAAAATGGTCCTCGTTTTTAGTGGCGAACATCATAAGAGGTTCACCTCTGTTAATTGATTTTTGAAGATGATAGCTTATTCGTCTATCACTGTAAATGGGTCAACCGCCTCTGAAAATCGTGAAGCATTTTAGGAGATCGGAACATATTTTGCTTGCCTCTGGAAATAAAGGGTTGTCTCTTGAAATGTTGTTGTAGTAGTGGCAGGATAAATATATTGTTAGTTGTTATTCTAGTAGGAACAAAATGTGGACTATTGTGAAGAATAGCATAGATATTTATTAACCTTTGGTTTCACAAACATATGATTCAAGGAATAAAACCATAATATTGTTGGGAAATTAATAATAATAATAATAATAATAATGATGATGATGATGATGATGATGATAATGATGATGATAATAATAATAATAATAATAATAATAATAATAATAATAATAATAATAATAATAATTCTACCAACCTTTTCTCCAAACCCTAGCCGCCGCAATCCCCTTTCCACCCACCCCCGGCCTACCCACGCCGCCACCTCCCAGAGACTATAAGACAACCAATGCTAGCATCCTACCATAAACATTCCGCTTTCCCATTCATCGACGATACACCTAACTCTCAACGCATCGCCATAAAGAAATCCTCTATATGATTATAAGCTCTGAGATGGGAACTATCACAGAGTTCCGATCTTGATGTACCTCATACCCGTCGCACCACCGCCGCCGCCGTGTAGGTAGATCTCCATCACCGACGAGTTGTGGCCCGCTATTTAGAAATTTCTAATGGCTCAAGAGAAGGGGAAAAATATTGTTACAGGTATTCTCTATCTATGGAAATTTTACATTATTAGTTTGGGTTGAGATTTTTGAGATTTGTGAAATATTGGGGTCAACCCCTTTCTCGGGAAACCCTAATCGACTAACACCGGCCCTTCTTCTTTCGGCCCAGCGCCACCGATGAATCCCCGCCCAGGTTGTTTCCAATTCCATTCGGGGAGCTCCACGGCTGTGACGGCGACGGCTGCGCCTCCGATCCGGATACCTGGCCTCTGCACCACGTGCTACGCCGTGGCGTGCACTGCCGCCTCTGCAGCTCCTGTATCCTCCTCTCCCACCGCTCGTTGTACTGCTGCCGCTGCATCTTCCTCGTCACCTCGCCGTCGTGCAACTACGACGATGGCGACACGGTCATGGCCCCTCCAGCCCCAACTGTCACCTGTCACGTTTGCCGCGAAGCCGTCGCGCACCTCCCGTGCCTCTACTACCCCGAGCCCCCGCCGACGGCGTCTTCGTCTGCCCTCCCTGCACCGCGGCCCAGAACGGAAGGCTCTTCACCTACGCGCCGCCCTGCAGGCAGCCACTCGACGAGCGCGGCGCGAGGGTCCTCGTCCTGGGGTCGCGCATAGCGCTGGCGCTGCTGCAGCGGCACGCGACCGCGGCACGCGCAGCCGCCGAGGAGGCTGGCCCGGGAGGCGCAGGAGGCTCGGAAGAGGGCGAATGACGCTCTTGAAGTGGCCTACAACCTCGGTAAGAAGGAAGATCCTTCCTGGGTCGTGCCGCAGTCCCCGAGAATGACCTAGCAGCGTCTGAAGAAGAAGGCAATGAGGGTGAGGCGAACGTGGGGAAGGTGCTGCTAGTGCGGCGCAACGCGATGCCATCGCTGGCCACGCTAACCATCGGCACGGGGGCAGTGTTGTGCTGATGGCTCTCGCCGAGGCCCAGCAAACGCCCCGTCGTCTCAATCAAAGCCGCTTTTCGACCTCAATGAGAATGCGGTTGAGAATGACCTCAATGACAACGCTGCTGAGAATGAGACAGAGGCTGTCCAGGCTGAGCCCACCCCACATCGGGCGCTTAACTCCTTCAACGTGAAGGAGGTGGCGCTTAACTCCTTCGACATGAAGGAGGTGACGATGGCTGCTGCGGAAGCAGCCAGGGCCAGCCCGCCGACACCGCAGACGCTGCAGCTGTTCCCAAGCGCCAAGGCAAGTTCCAGTACCAAGATGCCGCGTACCAAGAAGCCGCGTACCAAGAGGCCGCGGACGCTGCAACTCTTCAACGATGATCGAGCTTGATGCTGCCAAACTGATGAAGTGATGCTGTTGTGAGGTGTTTTGTTCTATACTTTATCTGAACTTCCTAAACTTCTTGGCCAGTGATTTCAGGTGGGGGTATTTATGCTACTTGCGTGCCCCAGAATTGAATTTCAGACCAGTTCTTGTTGAATTGTTAGTTTTATCGTCTCTTACATTACAGCTTGGTTTACACTTTGTGCATACCAATGTATGATGCTATTTGCAGTTACATGTATGATGTTTGATGTATCGTCTCTTAATAGCTTGGTCTGCACTTTGTGCATGACTTTGTATGATGCTATTTGCTGTGAACAATGTAATGGATTCAGGGTGTTTGAAACTTGATTCAGAATGTTATTTGCTACTTTATAAATTCCAAATCCTCCATGAGGTCATCTCAATATCCATACGGTTGCTGTGTGCTTTTACTTAGCCTTTGTTTGGATGCTCATGTATCTACCTTAATCCATGTGTGTTGGAGTGGTTGGTGTGGAATTTAAATTGGATTGAGGTGAATACATGGGCATTCAAACAATGTAATGGATTCAGGGTGTATGATGTCGAGGTCTGCTATCAGTTTAGTGTTTATACTGTCAGTTTGAAATGTCTACAAACTGAAGTGCATTATCTGTATGAACTTTGCTCCCCAGCTTATGGTCTCCAGGACAATTCTTCTGATTTGGATGTAACCTTCAAACGAACAATTGATCTAGCAATACTTAGTTATGGATCAGAATGAGAATCCGAGGATTAGAAAGTATGCAACATATCATTTCTTATATATTATATATATTCAACTTGGTGGCTAATTTACACCTTTCGCTTTGTACACTATATTCATGATCCTAATCTAGAATTGCATCAGGAACGAGCATGTTCCTCATCCCTCTGCCCAAAACCACATAGGGAAGCAATGATCAGAACCCAGATAGAGGGAACGCTTCGCCATCGAGGCTCAAAAGATCGTCACTCAGTGATTCAGTCCTCATAATCTGCTCTGTCTTGCAGGCCCCTAGCTCATCCGTGAGCCTCTCGCACAGCTGTGGTACATTTCAACAGAATTGCACTTTTAGATGTAGCACCACATATAAAGGGGCGTACCCAGTGCAGAGAGCTCCCGCTTTGTGCGGGGTCTGTGGAAGGGTGTCAGTGGCAAGCCTTACCCTCGCCTGTGCAATGCGAGGAGACTGCGACTCGAACCCGGGACCTTCCGGTCACAGGCGGTAAGACTCTACCGCTTGCACCAGGCCCGCCCTTCGCAGCACTGCATATACATCTGCAATAATTTAACTGGCAAAAAGAATGTAATATTCGGAGTGCATTGTTACCTGTCTATACAATGTGGAGTCCCCATGGGATTTCCTAAGTTCTACAACATATAATGATGGCCCAAGCTCAAACACCTGAAAGATCAGAATTGTACTGTAAGACCAACTGATATATATTCTTTTCTGCATTGAATTGAATAAAAGGAAGGTGTCCTGTGTCATTTTACCTCGGTGCACACCAAAAAATGATGACGGATTCCTGGAATTCTTGGAACATTTGCTATTCTTCAAGACTTTGAGCTGCAAAACAGCATGACTTTTAGTTCAGTTCAGCTATCCTATCAATTTATATAAAATTATGCTATGGTGATTATAATACATGCTTATCTACCTTGCTTGACCCCTATGGACTTCGAATCCCATCTCCATCACAACGCTCTCGATCTTGTCAAATAAATCCTTGGGTGGATGCGTTGAAGTGAACCGAATCTTTCTTTGAGCTGCATCCTGCAATGAATCCACGAACCATAAAAGTGAGGTAGATTTTCATGTCTCACTTTTTATCAACATTCAACTCTCAATGTGCAGGTATCCAGATAGGCTCATGGGGGTAGTGCTGACTGAGCTATGTGCAGTTTATAGAGAGAAAAGCATGGGCTATACTAACGTTGGGCTGTTAATTGAACTGTACAAATATAGGGAATCAATAATGTATAAACACAAACCTCTTCCTCGAATAAACCAGAAAGATCAAGGGAAGAAGCCATTCCGATCAACTGAAAAGCATTGATATGAGTACACTTTTCTTGTGCTGGTTCATCAATTTGCTTCAGGAACAAGAAATCAACAGTCAGCTTTAATCAATATGAAACCAAAAGAATTGAGTAGTTTCTCCTATTCCTATGTCCTCTCAAAACTTTATATACCTCTTTTATTGAGAGAACTGAACCGGGAAGGACGTCTTCATCATCATCGTATGGAACAGCAGGTACATAGTCCTTCTTGAACCACTCATGCTCTCTGATCCCTGTGATGTTGATCCTCTTCATCGGATTTGGTTCAAGGATCCTTTTAAGAAGGTCCTGTGCGGCAGGTGAGAGCCACTTTGGGATCTGACAGTCTCCCTTGAAAATCTATATACCAACAGAGCAATTTGGTACTGTCAAGATGGTCTCTCAACTTCTGTAGATTGCAAAATTTCAGAGCTTATTTTGTACTAATACCAACCTTCTGATAAAGAACAACAAGATTCCTGTCATCGAAGGAAGGTAACCAACAAGCATCACATAAAGAATTACTCCACAAGACCAGATATCTGACAAGGAGCCATCGTAACCTCTGTTTTGCAAAACCTGCATGAATTTATCACACAATTAGCACCTAGAGGAGAAATGAAAGAACTTGCTTATTTCGTACTACTTTCTGTTGTCGGTTTTTACCTCAGGAGCTATGTAATTGGGGCTGCCACATGTTGTGTGCAGAAGTCCATCATTCTGAAAGTTGTGAAGTGCATGCTGTTTGTTAAATTACGCATACAGAGGAATAATTATATATACAGAACAAAGCTGATCAAATCATATCATCGTACCCCGAGATGTTGAGGTAGAGCACTAAGGCCGAAGTCAGAGATCTTGATGTTTCCTTTCCTATCAACAAGAACATTCTCTGGCTGTAATAGTAGAATAAAGAAGAAAATTGCTGTCACAGAAGAATCAAAGCCCTACTTGAGTTCCACGCTGAAAAGTAGTATATGAATGCAAGAGAAGCAACAGATAAGCAATTCTAGCATCTACAACCGGATGTAACAACAGATTAACAATTATGTGAATACCTTAAGGTCTCTGTGGTAGACACCTTTATCATGGCAGTAGCTGACACCATCAATTAGCTGCTGGAAAAGCCTCCTGCCCTCGTGTTCAGACAGTTTTCCCTTTATAGCCTTTGATAGTTACAGTGGGAGCAGAAACGAGTGTTAAAAAGATGAGGCGCTAGTTTTACATGCAAACAAACAGTATTGATGATGTAGTTTTGGTGGCTTACAATCCTGTCGAAGAGCTCGCCTCCGTTAACAAACTCAAGCACCATGTAAATCTTTGTTTTACTAGCAGCAACCTGCAGAGAGAAATTGATCACAATATCAGTCACCGACAATTTTTTTGCTTCCAGTTCCACACAGGTCACTTAATCATTGTTATTCCGTCTTAACATCCCAGGGCGTTGGATATTTTCAGCAACTACGGCCTGAATGAGATAAGGGTAGAACAATGGCTTTGCAGGACGGGATGTAAGCGATTGCTGCAGGCAGACAAATTTAGCTTGTTTCCCTGCATCTTTCCCCGGCTCAGTTTGGTCCTCATCACAATTATTAACCTGAATGCTCAAGGGTTCTTTGATGCTAGTACTAGGCGTACTCGATGCCAGTGTTTTGTAGGGAAAAAAAGGCTTCGTTAGGTGAGGGAGGTTGTTGAGCCTGCTCCTGCAAATCATCAATCCCCAAACTGTTCCGCGGTTCTGTCGTCTCTGTGATCCGGATCGGTGAGATTGGTTGCTGCAAGCCAACAGACTGCTCCGGAGCCCAGAGACCGATCACAGGAAGACACACAGAGTTGGTGACCGCGGGCCGGGGATGGATGAGCCAAGGGGCCGTGGAACACGTGTGCGGGGCCCGCATGACAAGTGTTGCGAGCAGGCCCACGCGGTGTGGCCGTGACATGGTGCACCTAGCTCACGAGGAATGCTTAACACAGTACCCGCCTGGCCAGATGTACCGGGACCGTGTGAGGCCGACGTGGCGGGCCCACCAGGGAGCCGGCCACATGGCCCGACGGGTACCCGATGGTGTGGCGAGGCGAAAGCGCTTCATGCCCCACCGTGACCGGACAGGGGCAGAGGGGCTTACCAAAACAGAGCTAGCGGCCGGACTAAACTCCGGCGAGATGCCGTGCGGCGCTGCTGGAAGGACCGGCCGGCGGTCAAAGCTCCCGCGGGTGTTTTCCGCGTGAACAGCATTGAGAAGCAAGCGACGAGAACTGGCAGAGGAGAATTAATTGTTTCTTCCGCGCAAGCAAAACCGCTAATCCTTATCTTGGTTCCAAGTAAAAGCCACATGTTCCGTTACTTGCAAGTTAGTACAACTTGGTAGCCTAATCTCTTACGGAGCACTACAAGTTAATTCATTTCTAGCGTCATGGCAGCCCACGGGATCGGATATCCTACGAGTCCAGGCAAAGAATTGGTAGTCCAGCTGGAATTGGAAGGAGGAGAAGCATCCGTCCAGCAAGAAATGAACCACGGCAGGGAATGAATGATAAGAAGAAGGGGAGGTTGAGGTTTGGTGTGACACGCACACGCCACGCACCTCGTGCAAGCGGACGACATTTGGGTGCTTGAGCAGCTTCAGCGTCCCGATCTCCCTTCTAATCTGCCAACGCCAGGAACAGAAATGAAGCTGTCAGTGGACGATGGTCGACGGCCGGCGGACTGGATTGAAATTCGAAACGGTCCGAGCAGCTTCATCAGCGTACCTGGTCGTCGATGCGGAGGGAGAGGATCTTGCTGCGGTCGAGGATCTTGATGGCGAAGTGGCCGCCGGTGCCGATGTGGCGCGCGTACTTCACCTTGCCGAAGTTGCCTTCCCCGAGGGTCCGCCCGATCTCATACCTCCCCAGCAGCGACGCCCGCGTGCACTCCGCCCCCGCCGGCTCGCCGTTCACCATTCACAAACGCACGCGCGCCGGATTGCCGAGAGAGGTCGTGTGGGCGACCTTGCTGATCCGTCAATCTCTCTGTCTCTCCCGGTCTCGCTCTGCTCTCTGGGATGGAACCGGCCAGCAGAGGAACGGCGGATGGATGGATGAGGCAGGGGAGGAGGTGGAGGAGAGGGTGGAAGGGGCGGGGTACTTATAGCTCCGTCCTGCTCTTCTTCTAGCCTCAGTCGTCGTCTACCCTTCTCCTCTTCCCATCTTGTCTCTTGTGTTGCTGACAAGGATGAAAAAGGTACGAAAATATTCTGAATCCATCATTTTTGTTTTCTATATCATGACACCATTTTTTATGTTAGGATACCGTTTCCAAATTTTGTCAAATATAAAAATTTGTTATTTTTAATTGGTTTCACAACCATTTTTAAATATTTTTATACTTTTTAATTACTAAAATATAAAAATATCCCAAACCGGCCACTTCTATTTTCTATATTATAATCCCGTATTCGATGACCGTTTTCATCCTTTAGCAGGCAGAGCCTTTCGCTTGCTTGCTCTCTGTCGCCTCAGCCTGAGGTTCCGTGCGATGTAACCGGATGGGCAACTGGTAAACGCACACGCAAAAGCTTCTGTCGACGACTATTAATTATTACGGAGTATTAAACAAAACAAATGGGACAAATACACGCGGGCTTGCTGCTGCTATGTCCACCACAGCTTCGTACCTCCACAAAATACAAATAAATAAATAGCCGTCAAGGCATGAACTGTGCTTCTGTTTGATTGCGTTAGTTATCTTCATAGCCAATAAAATGAAACAATTTCTGTGAAACTTCCAATAAGATATGATCAAACGATAATTCTATTTTGCTAAGTAGTCAAAGAAATAGCCAGATACCTTAGCCAAATGGCTATAAACTCTAGACACAAATATATGTACTCCATGTCTAAAATACATATTTTGTTTGTCCTTTTTTTTTCCAAGAGTCCTCTTCACATTTGACGCGGCCAATACTAATACAATATCAAAGAGTTTCATTAAAACATCCAACAAACACATAGACAAAACTGTTGATCAGCTTGTCAAAGAAAAACCATGTGGTAATCAAACATCGTTAACTCGTTTGAAGTTTTGGCAATAGTTCGATTTTTTTTTGTTTGATTGCAAAAGGAGTTCGATTTTGTGCAAATAGTACTCAGACCATTTGGGTGAAATTACCAAATTTAGTTTACTATTTTGCCTGCTTGCGGACACTCTAAAATGGAATCCCTCTCATTGCCTAACATAGTAACATCTCTAACGTCTCTAGAGGAACAACTTGACCACACAGCAAGCTACTGTTGCATCGCAATTGCCCCACAACCCATCGCAATCACCTTTTTTTTATTTTGGTGGTGGTAGCCACTAGAATATGTGATTTGTAAGGGTTTTATGGACTCGAAGCTTATTTAATATCTTTTTCTACAAATATAATCACAAGTAAGCCTAAACTCTTGTGCTATTTTTTGTTATTTTCCGAAAAAGTCTACCATGTTTATCCTAAGTTGACAATTCACATGCTTGATTGTTGCACCAACAGAACACATGGTAGCTTTGCAGTATGTTTACGCATACTTCATTTTTGATGTATGACGGTCACTCTATGCAACACAACATAAAACGAAAAATATACCAATTTGAGTTTTTGTGGTTGTTATTTGTAGTTTATATATACTTAACAACTTAAGTGATCTTTTTGCAACATATAGGTTTGTGTTTCTGTTTCTCTTGTGACAAGATCTCTACTACTCCCTTCATTCCAAATTACAAGTCGCTTTTGACTTTCCTGGTATAGCGATTTTATCAAAAAAAAAAGTCATAACGACTATATCATAGCAAAATTGCTATCTAGAAATTTTAAAGCGACTTATAATTTGGAATTGAGGAAGTAGTAAATATGTTTATCTTGTGTAGCTGAAAGCATGGGTGACCTTAGCAGTTTTCTTCTTTCCCCCTGTTCTCTGTATATACGGAGGAACGGGGCTTTACGTCACCGGGCGGTAGGAGAAAACCGCCCAGGGCTCCAGGCCCATACTGGCGCCGACGTGGGCGGGGTCCCTCGTCGCTGCGTGGAACGTCTAGCTGGCCCACATGGTTTCCGTCGGGCGCGGGTCTTCGGTCGGCAAAGATTACCGTAAACACCTCGTCCCTCTGCCTGTCAAAGCGCATCGCGGGGGCAGTTTGGGAAACGAGCGTGTTGTGTTGTGGAATGAAAAGAACAACCGACGTGGTCGTGGCCTTGGACTGGACTGGACAGACAACTGGACAAGGGAAGGGATTTGAAAAAGGGAATAAAAGATTGCGTGCATGCAGCGCGTGTGTACAGTGAACGGATAAACAAAGCCGAGATGGATGGCGTCAAGTAGCTGCGCCGCTGCGGGACGGTGCTCAATTGGCCACGCATTGCTTAATTTGCTTCCGGAATCTGGAGGAGGAGGGGGGTCGGGAGTTGCCGTCGCGCTTCCTCCGCTCGACCCATTCATTCTCCGCCCGTACGCATCATCGTCAGCGCCCACGACCGTACTCGTCTCCTAATACTAACTAAACGACGAGCCCTAATCCACTTGATTATATTATAGTATTAGTAGTTGATGGATGGGACCCACTGGCACTGCACGTCGGGGGAGCTTTTTGCTGCTCCGGCCTCCGGGAGGCAAAGAAAGCTACGTCACGTGGAAAGCCGGACACGTCGTCGGACCAATGCAAGCAAGCAGCAGGCCCGGCCCCGTCCGTCCTGGCCGTTGGTGACACTGCGTAGCCGTGCACCGGCCTGCTTACCTGTGGATGCGCTGAACCGTGCCACAAACAGTCCGTTGGCGTCATATTTACACCCTCCATCCCACACCCCAAAAATAAGAGACTAGAGAATTTTTAAGGCAAATTAGTGAGGAAGCAAAATGACCTAGGTATATCTCACTAACGAACCGCGTCAAATACTGCTGCATAGTACCGATACCATAGTGATAAATAGTACTAGAACATTTCAAAAAAACAAATAGTGCTAGAATAATTTCCTTTGTGTGAAATTTTTTGAATCTTGTAGAGATCTTACTTTTTATGGGATGACGGACGGAGTGAGGGAGAATTTTTCAAATTTTAGCATTACATGCACAATTCAATATGCTGTGTCAAGTAGGTTTGGCAATTAAGGCTCTATTTGTTTTAGCCAGTAGAGAGGACCATGAATGATGCAGACAGCAATGCAACGCTATAGGTTAATTACTATACGTTATAACTAAAGACGTGTGTAATTTTGGGAGTACGTATTTGGTTTCTTCAATTCGGGTTACTTTTGCATTTGTAACAGTGAGATGTACGTAATTTTTGTCATAATAACAGCACATGATGTTACAATACGAGACACACAAGCATTGCACCAGCAGCTAGATTCGTTAGTGTGCGCCTTTGGCAGGCAATTGCTCGATCGGGACATGTTGGTTGCATCGGTTGCCTTCTGCTCTACGAAAAATCAAAGAATTAAAATTAATGGACAGAAACGCCTCATGGGTCTCATGCTTTTTACCACTCCTGGTGCGCGTTTGATATCTCAATGTGGACATCGGTGACGACCCATCGTAGAGAGGGAGAGGGCAAAAAAGATGAGTGGGAGCAAGAGCCAACAAAACTTGTGGTTGTGAATTGTGATGTGGAGAACAAATAAAATCCTATATGTGTCTTTCCCGTTTCAGAGGCAGGGAACAGAACATACGAGGGCATGCCATGAATCACTCCATGCGTATATATTCTGCCATAAATGAATTGCAGTTGATCCTACATACCATGAGATGGGCCACTACACTAGCTATTGGGCACTGATGAGCACATATGTAGCAGTGAACACCAAGCAAGCGAGAACAAGTAGTTGGCGAAGTATCGGTGACGTGTTTCTTACGGCTGCATATATGCCCGATCATTGCTTGTTGCTCATTGGCGAAGCTTCCATTATCTTTGGTGTTAAGCTCATGGAGTTGTGTACGGCGACTGCATGCACACGTACTTGGTTATTCATTTTTTTTTAAATGGGATCCGAATTATTTTGCGGTTGAAGATTCCTTTTCCATGATTGAAGAGACCTACTGGCTACTACACGTCAAGATCCTGTAGTATTACACTTCTAAAATAACGCACAGGGGACCCCGCCAATCTCTACGAACGGGATTGAAAAATCTAGCAAATCGATGTGGTGGACGGATCTGCAGGTTCATAAGTGCATTTGATTGGTCAGGTTTTCGTCAAATTTGTTCCGCGTCATTCACTGCTACAGAAAATGTCTACAGCAACGGAACATTTTTTTATTGGCGGCAAGTGATAGAGCCGCCTTTACAGTGGGCGTGGTCGGAACCCACGAGACCAGCCGTCTCTACAAATAATACAATAAGGACAGCTGGTGATACGACCCACTCCTACAAATGGGTCAATTTGTAGGGATAGCTTACTCACCCTTCGCCCCCACTGTTGCGATTTTTAGGGGCGACTCAATCACCAACTACCCCTACAAATGCTCTACATATAAAAGGCTGCAGGCCCCTTCTTCCTCCTTAGGTCACTCACACATACCCGAGAAAAAAAGGCTTGAGTGGCCTTAGGCACCTCCCAAAAACTGCTCTATTAAGGAGGAGGTTTTAGTCTCAAATCCTTTAGTAGAGAAGCCGTTGAAGGTAAAAAATGTTATTCCAACTTTTTTTAAGCTTTAATGGTTCGTTAGCGAGTAGTTAGAGTTTTGCTTTTCTCTCTATTCTATAGTGCTTGAGCTACTTATGAAACAAATTAGACTCAAGTTTGAATATACTAGGGTAAATTAGGTAGGGGAATAAGATCATATCCTTATTTGGTCGATGTTTCTTGATTTTAGTGAACAATAAGTTAGTTTTATGGATGTTTCATGTGCATCTAGATCTAGATCTAGGGTTTTGTTTTTTTATTAATTTTATTTTTGTAAATTTATATTCGATGAAATTGGACTAGGGTTTGC